TATATATTTTGTCTTTTACTTTTTAAAAAATATACAAATTTTTTAAATTTTTAATTTTATTAATTTATTAATTTTTAGGATATATTTATTTGATGCGAGGTGCACCATATGCAGGGTATAGCATCGATCACAGTAATCACAGGTAGTTATACAGATTTACAAGATAAGTATAGATTTTTTATTTATACTATTTTGTCTGTTTTCTTATCAGTTTACTTTTTTTAGATAATATTGATCGTTGTTTTTTGAGGCCGCCATTTCTCTGGTGTTGTGTCTCTTTGGAGTCGTCATTTTGTTAGTAGCATTGCATTTTGGTTCTGTCATTTCGCTGGTGTCATCGTCGCGCGCTTTCTCTTGTCTATTGTTTTTTGGAGCCGTCGTTTCTCTGGTGTCGTGTCTCTTTGGAGTCGTCGTTTCATTGATGTCGTCATATTGTTTCGCTGGTGTCGTCGTCACACACTTTCTCTGATTTATTGTTTTTTGGAGCTGCTGTTTCTCTGATGTCGTGTCTCTTTGGAGTCATCGTTTTGTTGGTGTTGTCGCATTTTGGAGCTGTCGTTTCGCTAGTATCGTTGTATTTTGGGCTTCTGGTTTGGGTAAGTGTTTGTTATTAGGCTTTTTATTTTCTTGCTTGAATTAATGTTCTTCTTTCTTTTTTAGTGAATTTTGCTTGTCTTTGTCTGGAATTGGGCTTTCAGTTTGGGTGGATAAATTTCTTGTTTTGTTATTGGTGTTTTGTTTTCTTGCTTATACTAACGTTCTTATTTTTTGGTAAATTTTTGCTTGTCTTTGTCGAGAATTGGGTTCTGATTTGGGTAGGTATATTTCTTTGTTTGTTGTAAGATGATATCTTTCAATTCTTTACGTTCTTGAACCAACGTTTGGCTTAATCGAAAGAGGCGATTAGATTTGGCGAGTCAGGTTGGTTCTTTCTGGTAAGTATATTTTTGTTGTGCTATATTTCTTCACTAATACTTTACTAACTTAAACTTTCTATTCTATTAAAATCACAACCAATTCAGTACGTTGAATGGCCGGTATGAGGTATATACTGCTTATAGCTGTTTTCATAATTTCTAGGACACCTGTAAAAAATTAGCCGAATGATTTTCGGACGACATAATAGATTAAATAAAAATTGGTACGTATGTACGTACACACGTTGTGACAGTGAAATGTGATCTAGCCGAAGTTAAGAAAACGTGATTTTCAAGCCATATGATTCGGAACCCGAATGCGGATTGATCACAAAGCGAAGGCATTTAATAATATTAATTCAGGTTTGGCTTGAGACGATGCTTCATTGAGAATAATAAATAGTAAGGCGTCACTGGTATTTACATGGTGGGAACTAAAGTCATTGTCATATAAATGAGTATGAATTGCTTATCGTTAGCCATAGATCCTCTGATACTCTAAATAGCTTATAATGATCTTAAATGTAGTAGCAAAGCCCCAATGTTGTTTATAATGTATAAAAGCTCCTTGATTTCATGTAACTAAAGGGAGCAGATAGATAATAGATAAATAAGAATCATAATTAAATAAAGACCATCTTAGTCTAAACCGGAAGACAATTTTGAAGTCACATGTATGCGACAAGGTTGAATGATAGTCTACTACTATACTATCATTAGGAACGTTTGAATAAGATCATCGTACCAGCGATCATGTGATCGTATACTGTTGTTTGTGTTTTGTGTAACCACATGTATATACACATGATCCCGCACACGGTGCGGGGTGCACCAAAAAATAACATACTAATTTTTATTATATTAAAGTACTATATCATTTTTCTTTTAAATTTTTTAGATTAGAAATAGTTTAAATTCATCTGAATCTCACACTAAAATTTTGCTTCTTGAATACATAAAAGTTGGTCCCAGTATACAATCTCTTATTACCATGATTTATCCTAATATACAACAAAAAATGCCTTCTGATGAATATTTAAAAGGTCAAATGATTTTATCTGCTCGAAATGATAATATTCTTGAGATTAATCATGCTGTTCTTAACATATTTCCTGGAGATAATATACATATTTAAGCATTGATGATGCCTTAATAGAAGAAGGTGCTAATAATAATAATATTTATCTTGCTGAATATTTGAATATACTTAATCTATCTGAAATGTCACCATCTAAACTTGATCTTAAAATTGGATATCTAATTATACTTTTGCGCAATCTTGCTCCTTATCAAGATTTTTGTAATGGCTCTTGCTTGATCATAGTTTGCTTTACAGATCATGTTATTGAAGCATGAATTCTTACTAGAGATTTTGTTAGAAATTTGGTTTTTATACTCTGTATTACTTTAATATCTTTTTCAACAAACTTACTCTTTATTTTTAAGTGTAAACAATTTCTAATTTGTATTGCATTTGCTATCACCTATTAATAAATTACAGAGCCAATCACTATCATTTGTTAGATTAGATTTCAGAACTGATATATTTACACACAATCAACTTTATATAGCATTATCTTGTTATATTTCTCCACATTCTATTAATATCTTTTTTCTACAAGATACTGTTGACTATACTATATTAAATGTAGTTTATCCTGAAGTATTATTACAAAATTAATAAATAAAATAAACTATTAATATTTGCATACTTTTTAGTAATAAATATTTTTTACAATTTAATATTGTTATTAAGATATGGAGAAGTTAATAGAAATAGGACAAATTTATTAGATAAATTTGTTCTATTTCTATTGATTTCACCTATATATTTTATATTATTAATATATAGTTTTATTAATCTATATTTTACTTAAAAAAATTTATTAATACTTTTATAAGTATATGTTTATAATGCAATTTTTATATCTTTTAAAACTTCATATATAGGTGCTTTATTTTTTTGTATTGTTAAATCATTAAAATTTTAAAATTTTGTAATATTATTAGTTATTTATCATATTTTATTACAATGATATTCTTAAAAATTAAGTATATTTAAATAAAATTTTTCTATATAAGCTATAATATATAAAGATATTTAGATTTAAAGCAACACGACAGGTCTTACACTAGTTTTATTAAAATTTTATACTGCAAAAATCTTAGTATTTATATCTGATATCTTATTAAGAATTCATAGGTTGTTTATCTCTATTTAAGTTATCTGCCAAATCTCAAAGAATTTTATAGATAATGCATATTTTATATATAAGTACTGCAGATTAGATAGTATATATATAATAAAATTAAAAACCTGCATAATTATATTATTTCGCTTATATATATATCACAAGTTTAATCAATTGACAAGATAACAATCCTTTTAAATAGATAATTGTTAATTAGATAATATTTTTTAAAGTTTGTTACTGCAATTGGATCTTTAATATAAGTTTAACAATCATACTACTTCATAGCTACATTATTTAGCTATTTTAATTTTATTTTAAACTATGCAAAATTAGCCAATTTTATAAAACAATAGATTATGTTTTATTTTGATAAAATACTGAATCTTTCATATATTATTATTAAAAACTTTTTTTACTGAGTATTGTATATAATAAATGTTTAATAAAATTTTTATTACTGCTGTTTTTATAATTTCTGAAATATCTAATACCAAATAATTTTTGGCTATTCCAGTTATTGTTATAGATTAAAATAAAATCTGATCAAAATAAAACTAAAGACCTCTTATATCTACTTTTAGAGTTTATAAAATTTACATATACTTATTTATTAATAAACCTAACTCTAAATCCTATCTCAAATACTAAAAAGAACTCCAAAAAATGTTCTTTAAAAAATTTTAAATTTTCTTTAAAAAACAGAAAAATTTCATTTTGATCAGATTTTGTTTTAATCTGTAACAGGTATTATTTTTGCAATAAATTCATAATTATTAAATTACAAAAATTTTGTTAGCATTATTAGACTTTGTGTATCAGCTTTATAAAAATTCTAAACAATTATTTATAAAACAAAAATTGTATATCTGAAATTTATACACAAATTTTTTAATTTTTTTTTTTAATGTTAAGGTGATTACTTTGGGGTCTGGCACATTTTATTGAACTTTGATTCAAATGTCAGAGCAACCTACATGGGCTACCTCTGACTTTGTTACATTAACGAAAGTACAACTAGTCATATATACAACTTTTGGTTATCTATTTAAGCAGTCTTATATATATAACCCATATAAACTACACTAGCTGCCATATCTATAACCCAGCTAAGGAGATTATCTATTTAAATCTTCTGATCAACTTAGCGCTATCAAATATTCTCCTCAAAGAAGAACTGCTGAAAAGGCCTTTTAAAACTTTAAAGCGGACACACACTACTATATAGAGGAATCTTTTATCCTTGTGATAAATCTGTTAGAGCCTTCCGTACCTACAAATCTGGCTGACCTAGACTTTCAGTAACTTATGCTAAGTCTAAAGACAAGTACTTGTGAGCTGAAGCCACTACTATTATCTACTACCACCCTTATAGAGTTTACCCAAACTCTAGCACCCATTATACAGACTATCACCCATACACCCATTATCCAAACTTCTAATCCAGATGGCCCGGAAGAGCTGTAACATGCCCTTAGTTCCTACGCTTGGGTTCTTTTCTTCACATTACTCTCCAGTGATCAGGTTAGTGGAGTGCTTTGCCAAACACTTCAGTTCTGTTTGGTTTTTCAGTTTTCTGTTTGATAATCCTTTACATAGTATTGTCAAAAATTTGTGCTATCTCTCTATTCGGATCTTGCCAAGTGAGCTCTCATGTGCGCCAACTCTAGATTTACACAGCCGCTTCACTCAGGTTTCGTATAACTCCTACATTATACTATTGTTTCACAGCCTCCCAGTACAGGCTGTTATGATCAGATTACAGATATCAATCTGTCTATTTATACTCACAGTCTGCTATAATATGTTCTGAAATTCGAATTTTCGCTGTGATAAGATTCGAACTCTGATCGCTGCCACTTGGAGGTGCGACAACTTCACCACTATACTAAGTTGCCACATTCTTATTTATACACAAGTTTCTACTTTATATATTTCTATATTTCTATATATAAAAGATATGCATTATACATAATACTTTTTTACAATAATTCTAACATTATAAATGCTAGTGCATTCAATATTACTAAATTTTTATTTAAGGGTAAGGTATTTTTATTATGTATTTAATAGTTATACAAATACAATTGTGCAAATACAGTATGATTGCTGTAGCTATTTGCTGCACTAATTATGTTTATACAATTGTGTTCATGTAACTTCTAAATGCATAACAAAGTATTTTACCCTTAAATACTTGCTTGACATGTTTATACTGTAGTATGTTTAGTCTATACAAAAACATATATACAATATAATTTATATATATAATATAATATAAATTGTATCGGGTGTAATGACTTAGAGTAGTGGTTAAGTTGTCACCCCCAAGTAGCAGATCTAGAGTTCAAATTCCACCGGAGACATTTTTAGAAAAATAGACCTGTGTACTGATAACAATTATTTAACAATCA